TTACTTTCTTCAATTCAAAGAATCAAATTTAGCTTTTTTGTTTCCTACAGATTAGGTATTTCTATTTTTTTAATTCATAGGTTTATTGTAGTTTTGCTGAGTTAGCTCTCAGGGTTTTTTTTGTTTCACTTGAATTGTATGTGAGTATCTTTATATACGGTATAATATAATAATGAATTACAAAAATAATTGATTTCTTTATTCTTATTATTATATATTTAGTTCATACATATTGGTTATGTTTCTTTGTTTTAAATATTTTAACTATTATCGAACATACTTTAAGTTTTTTTTTAATTTTCACTTTGAACATTTTTATGCTAGATGATGTAAACAAAATTACATATAAAACTGCAAGCGTTAATTAATTTTAATTGTAACATGTTCTAAGACTTTTGTATGAAAATATATGCTTACATTCCGTTCGGATCTCTTTACATCCCGTTCCCATCTTGTATAATATTTTTACTCTTGTTGCATAAGATTAAAATCATTTTGCAGAAAGTGATCACAAAATCATGTATCGATTTGATTAAAAATAAAGTAATGTGTTTAATGCAATAAAATAATTCAATTTTTATTATTTTGGCTAGATATGATATTTATTTATAATACGGTTGAAAAATATATTTTATTTTATACAATTACAATTTTGATTAGTGACATATATATTCAAAAAAATGAAATTAGCCCTTTTTGTTGAATTAATTATTTTAAGACTTTATATTATTTTGAATATAATTATATCAGTTGTACCTATATATGTGGGATAATGTTTTTAGATATTTATAGTATATCATTTATAGTTTGGATTCATACATGTTTGACATTTAGTTTAGTTTCAGTTAGATAGTTAAGGATTTTGTTCTTAACTACTTGATTGTTTTTTCTTTTCGAAACTTACTTAGAAGACGTAGAAATTAAATCATAAAAATATAATCCATTTATTATTTAAAAATTGCTAATAAAACATAACAATTATTTTATATCCACTTATTATGTAGTTTTGATTTAGTAGTTAATGAGGTACCAAAATATATGAAATCTTGAATTTATAACGATCAAATAATTACGATGTAATTAAACTTTTATTTTTTATTTTTGAATTGTTTATAGATTTGAAATTGCATTATAGTTAGGAAAAATAATAATCGAATTAAATATTTTTCTAATTTTCGATTGTTTATGTTAAGTGCTAGTTATTAGGGTGATTGAATTAATTCTGTATTTCTGAATAATTTTTTTAAAAATTGGATTATTGATTTTTTAAAAGGAAAAACGGAAATATCTCATATGTAATCAATATATTTCAAACTCTTTTAATTTATGTGCGATATTTTCGAGATTGCTTTTTTTAATATGAAGATTTTATGTGAAAATAAGAGATTTCATGTGATATATAATTTTCGCATGATTTTAGCCAACAAATTTTTAATTATTAATTTAATTAAGATTATTTATTCAAATATTTTTAACTACTTTTTAAGATTATATTTTTAAAATTTGATGATATAATTAATTATGTCGTATATTTCACACATTTTATGATATGTATTTTTATAATCAAACATATTTTTTCATCTATATTTTTCTTAAATATAAATTATAATTTTCAAAAAATATTCTAAAGTATATAACTAATATTAAATCTGTTTGCATATTTTTAATTTCGAATTTAATTGTCCATTTTTTATGGTAACAAAATTAAAATGATTTTCATAAATACAGATAGTTTTTGTTTTTTTTTTTAATTTATTTAATCTATTTTTTTGCTGTCTTTTAGTGTGTTTGGCTATAGGTTTGAAATTGTATATTTTGTAATATTTTTTTTTCAAGTTTGTTTGGCTATAAAGACAAATAATGATCCCCAATTAATAGTATAGATATATATATATATATATATATATTTAGTTGATTTTTTTTCTAAAAAATCTATTTGAAACCAAATTTTAATGTTTTTTCTTAAGAAATTGGTTATTAATGTAGATATACATAAATATTTTACAACACTAACAATAGGAAACTATTGTTTTTTGTTTCCTAAAAGGCTAAAAGAGTTTGAAAAATGGAAAATGGCTGTCTCTCTGACACGTGTAAAAAAGAAACAAAAAACGCTCGTTTTAATTTGAAATAATCGCGCGTGGACACACTTGCAATCACAACGCGCGTGAGGTGTTTAACAAAAAAAAAAAAGGAAATCACACCACCGATTTAAACGTAGAAACCAAAATTCCCCCACTCTCTCTCTCTCTGATTACGCTCCACCCTACTCTTCTTTTGTCTTTGTCTCCCTCTCTCTCTCTTGCCGGCACTTACAACACGAAGAAATTTTTTTGAAAAGAGAGAGAAAGTTTCAGGAGACCGTACGAAGAAAAAAAAAACTTAGTATAGATCGATAAGATCGGTAACGTTGGAGATATAATTTCGTGGAGAAAATGTCGTCGGAGGAAGAGAAGTTATTGAAGGAGGCGAAGAAACTTCCTTGGGAAGATCGCCTTGGCCATAAGAATTGGAAAGTTAGGAACGAGGCTAACGTCGATTTAGCTTCTGTTTGTGATTCGATTACTGATCCTAAGGACTCTCGTCTTCGCGATTTTGGTGACTTTCTCTACCTCGTGTTTTTTTTTTTTTTTTTTTTTCTGGGTTGTTAGGGTTTTTGTTTTTGAGGCTCAGATCTGATTGGGGTAGTTTATCTCGTCATGGATCTGGTTTGAATTTGGATTGTTGAGCGGGAATGTGATTCGCCTAGGGTTTATTTGCTTTACTCTTGATTTCATTCCTGAACTATTTTTTTTTAAAAAAAAAATTCGCAGGTCACTTGTTTAGGAAGACGGTGGCTGATTCTAATGCGCCGGTGCAAGAGAAAGCTCTTGATGCATTGATTGCGTTTTTGCGAGCAGCCGACTCAGACTCCGGAAGGTATGGTGTTCATGTATTTTTTTGTTTCTTAAAAAATGGGCAGAGCCAGTGTTTGTTTGCATGTGAATCTTTAGCTTGTTTCTGCTTTTGAAGGTACGCAAAGGAAGTTTGCGATGCTATTGCAGCTAAATGTCTCACGGGTCGGAAGAATACTGTCGACAAGGCGCAGGCTGCTTTCATGCTTTGGGTAGAATTAGAGGCGGTCGATGTTTTCCTGGTATGTTAATTACTTTCTACGTTCTTGCAACTCTGCAAGGTTTATCTAGCCACATACGCGTAACCCTTGCACCTCTGATGTAACCATCTAGTCATATAGTAGCTTGCAAGATTGCTGATACTGGTTTATCATAAATTAGATAGGTGAGCTGACTTAGAAATGAAGGTGCTTATAACCCAGAATGCAA